CCACGGTGGATATTGTTTTTTATGCGATTTGTATAGAGGTACATAAGTGTCCAGAATACTATACAACACTCCATACACCTGATTGACGGCTCGATCACCACAAGTAACGTCATCCAAGAATGACCAATCAGTATTAAATATTGTTCGGTATATACTCGAATAGTCAGCTTTTTTGAAATTATATGCCTTACAAGACGTATTAGAACTCAAAGCATTACTCTTAACAAACAAATCATCGATATATATTATAAGAGCCAGATGGTAGCTAATATCCTCCGATACAAAAGGAGTAAGATCTCTCACAAATGTACAATATATATTAGAAATAACTAAATCTAACAACCTGCCGGTGCTATTTATTGTGGTATTGAACTGTCTAAGATCCATTACGCTCAGCATATTATTAAGACAACAAGATCGTCAGTCATTGTTATTTGCGTGAATAAATCCAGGGACATTAAAGTCGCCCAGTAAGATAACCTTTCCAGACTGAAGACAATCAAGTTGTTCCAATGCCTCGCAAAATGAATCAAACAAATCAATAGCTAAGGCAGGTGGTATGTAGACAACAACAATGTGAAAAGATATATACAAAATGTTGCACTTACAGATAACAATGTCAATTGTTGGAAAAGTCATATCCAAAGTGGGAACATTAACAATCTCGGTGCTGATAACAGACGTGGTTGCCAATAACACTCCACCTCCAGACTGGGCATCAACAATATCAAACTTTCTGTCCCTTCTAAATACCGTGTAATCAGGCGAAAACAATTCACTGCTCAATATTTCGGGATTTAAGTTAGTCTCTGTAAGAGCGATCAAATCGAACCCACCAGTACTATGTCCCGTATAAAATTCCTCAATTTTAGACCGAAGACCACGCACGTTTTGATAATAACAGCTGACGTTGTAACTGTTGGTATTTAGTTTTCCGATACAATTTTTGGTATACCATTTATGTATCTAATTTTTAAATTGGTTTCACCGGAATTTATACGTTCAGTCAACTGTTCTTTAACTTTCTTATAATAATCTATTTGCCGGGGTGTTCGATCAAATGACAGAGAAATCTTCTTATGATATGGGGTGCCTTGCAATGCTTTAGCATTCTTAATTACCTCGATGACCTCTCTCTCGTCCTTGAACACAAGTTTGATAGGGCGATTTCGATCGTTACTGTGTCGGCCAATACGAACATGCTTCACACTGCTCAGATCCATAGACGGTCTCACCATCCTCACAATTTCTTCTGCTGCCTGTTTGTCCCTATCGAATCTGTCATTGGCAGGTGCAGCCTGATCCTGCTCGTTTACCCCAAATATTAATAAGTTTCGCTTACGTTTGGAGCGTTCACTCATTTCCAATAATACTTCTTCGAAAGTGTCGTCATCGGTAGATATTGGACGCGGACCCGCCATTCCCATCTGCAGTACTTGAATGTCATCCTGCAGTTTCATGATCATTGCCTTTAGATCTTTTACTTCATTGCCTGTAGATCGACACTTCATGCAAGACCAATCGCAGCCTTTGTTCGCATTAAGCATACGAACTTCAGCAGAAGATATATCTACATATGTATTTTTGAAAAACTTTTTACATACTGAACACTTCAGCATAAGAATTGCTTCGTAAGTACGATTGCAGCAAGAACATGTAATGGATGTCGGTGCCATATCCAATAATACTCAAATGAATTTCAAGAAAATCCGAGTATAATGAAAGAAATACAAATTTCAGGAAACCTCCTCTCAACTATCGACAACTAATCACAAAACGATGAATAAATTCTCCTGCACTAAACACGGAATCGCCGCAAGAAGTTAATGCGAAATTCCTCACTGATAAGAAATTTATTGATATCGCCCGATTTATTGTGGTTTTCACCAATAGAGATGATTTTCTATTAAGACGAGAAAAAACACACACTTCTTTAATATTTCCATGTACCAAATTAGAAATTCAAAAAAATTCTGCACACATTGATACCAATTTCAATTAATACATTTACTTTAGTCCTCGTAAATAAACGATAAACACAGAGAACACTTTCACGCAGGTCCGTATACTAGAGATGCAAACAATACTGTTGATAGAAATCTGTGTAATAATGTTGGAGAAATTGTAAAAAACATACACCATAGCACAGAACTTTAAAGAAAAATATCATACGTTTATATATCAAAATTATCAAGAAATGTCAAAAGGCGACGAATACAGCGGTGGAGTACGGTGTATTTAATAAATAATACTTTTGACTTTTGCTGTACATTCCTTAAGCTAACTCCCTCATAAGACCAAACATTTCTAATTATCGTTTATTAATCCAAAAGAAGAGAAAGACTCAAAGTTACTTCCTTCTTTTTAATTTATAAACCAGGTCTCTTTGGGAAAACGGACGCCTTTTTTAAAAACTTTATTAAGTAAAAGAATTGATTTTCTATTAAATGATACGTTCAAAATATAAAGGCCTTTTTTCCAAAATAATTGCTAAATTTAGTGGTACATACATCAGATAAATTAAAATAGGTTTAAAAACAATAAAAAGCAAACGCGTTTAATATTAAATGTCATTTGTTGTACTGCATACGCCGTATATCGTTATAGTGTACATACGGTTGGTGTGCCCGAAATGCATTTTTGTAATTTAAAACTTGTTAGAATTAGACAAAATTCTAACGTTTAGGAAATACAATTTGATATTGACAAAATCAAATGTTGACATCTTAAGGTATTTACCTGGTTTTGCCTTTTCAATTTTAATTTAAAAATAAATGCAATAATTTTTATTAAATTAGTAAGACGTAAAGCTTCATTCAGAACCTCGAAATTAGCGGAATAAATTAGTGATTTTAATTAGCATAGGGTTTTGTCGACTTTGACTATAAGCATTCAAAATGGCATTTCGTTCAATTGGTAGAGAAAGTCAACAACCTTTCAACTTTTACCACTAATTTTACCTCAAAATTTGCAAGTAATGTTATTTTGGCCTTTGATTATCATCCGTCGAGAGAAATTGTGGTTAGAAATATTAGTTTAGTAGTATTAGTTGGTTAATAATGAAATAATGAAATAAGTTTATTGTTTTCTAAGCTAATTATTAGACCTTCTCTATGGACACAACTGACTACCGCAAGCTGTTGCTAGGATAATCTATTAATTTTAATTGTATTTTTTAGACATTGATGAATGTTTGTAAATATTTAAGTATCAAGTATAATTGAAACTATTAATTTATTCCACTAAATTCGAGATTCTGGATGAGGCTAAAGCTTCATTCAAAAAATTAATGGAAGAAATTAGTGGCTTCAACTAACATAGAAATTTGTTCCTTTAATTTCAGTGTAAGCGTTCAGAAGTCAAAGTAAGTGGTAGTTATTTTCAATTAGTAGAAAATCAGACCGCTGTAGTAAAATATAACAATATAACAACTGAACCAGCAAACATACAAAAAGGTGTCCGACAGGGTTGCATTTTATCACCAATGTTATTTAATCTATACTCCGAACGCATTTTTGAAGAGGGAATAAAAGGCACGAGTGATGGGATTAATATCACTTCGCACTTAACAACCTAAGATATGCTGATGATACCGCGGTACTAGCAGATAGCCCAGAAGCTTTGCAACGCGTGATAAATCAACTCACTGCAATCGGAGATCGTTACGACCTTAAAATAAATACCACTAAAACGAAAATACTTATAATATCAAAAACACCAGAGCCGCCCATAGATATTAGTATATATGGGAAAGGAATAGAAGTGGTAGAAAAATTCAAATATTTGGGGACCTGGATTTGCAACAACCTAGATCCAGAAATAGAAATTAGATCCAGAATCGAGCAAGCAAGAGCCACTTTTAAACTGATGCGGCCATTACTGTGTAATGCCATCCTAAGTCTGAGTCTTAGATACCGGTTTGTAAAGTGCTATTTACACCCGGTTTTGTTGTATGGCTGTGAATCATGGACTCTAAAGGTTAATACCATTGACAGAATATAAGCCCTTGAGAGGTGGATTCTTCGTAGACTTCTCAAAATACCTTGGACGGCACATGTCACAAACGAAGAGGTGCTGATGCGAGCCCAATGCCAAAGAGAATTAGTGCACATAGCCAAGACACGTAAGACAGTCTATCTGGGCATATAATGGGTGGAAGTAGATATGAGCTGTTAAAATTGATAATGGAGTGAAAAATTGAGAGCAAGCGGGGTATAGGTAGGAAGAAGCATTCATGGTTGAAAACATCAGAGATTGGACGGGTATGGATGCACACTCATTATTTCGAGCTGCCCAAGATCGTCAGATGTTCGCCGAGATTGTTGCCAACCTTCAATGAATAATGAAGACGGCACTCTGAGTAGAAGAAGAAGTAGAAAAAGTTAACAGACTTAACTTTTGCCACTAATTACACTTCAAAATTTGCGAATATGTTATTTTGGCCTTTGATTATCATCCTTCAACAGAAATAGTGGTTAGAAATGTAAAGTTTATTGTTTTTTAAGCTAATTATTAGGCCTTTGCTATTGATACTACCGCAAGCTGTTGCTGGGACATTCTATTAATTTAGTTGTATTTGTTAGACATTGTGTATAATCGTAAATTTTTAAGTATAAAATATAATTTGAAACCACTAAGTTATTACACTAATTTCGAAGTTCTGAATGAGACATAATTGCAAATCGACTTGTCTATTTAATAATTTTTATATGAACTATAAAATATCTGATTTATATTAAAATATATCAGTATATGCTGGTCTTTAGATTAAGTTATATTTTTCGTAATGAACTACTAAGACTTTAGTCGGAATAAATATGCACGTTTCTTCTTATTTCATCTAAACAATGTAGTAGATATATATATATATATATATATATATATATATATATATATATATATATATATATATATATATATATATATATATATATATATATATATATATATATATATATATATATATATATATATATATATATATATATATATTTTCGTAATTAAATAACGTCCGAGCTTAGTGAGCATTGGCCGTGCCAAATCCCCAGCTCGGCTTGGTCGTTTTCACGTAAAACCGCAGTCGCAGCAGCAGCTATTCCATCCCTGGGGAAATAATAATTACCTTTCCAGGCCGGCTTGCAATGGCAGGATCCCCGGACGCATTTCCCATGGCCGGAGCAATCGGCAATGTGGCAGTCACCTTCGGGGATGTCGCATTCCGTTCCCTTCCATCCTTCTTCGCAGTGACAAATGCCGCCGCCGTACTGGCCGTGGCCGGAGCATAGTACTGGGCATATACCTGAAAAAATATTACCAATTATTTTTACAGATCGACTATATTAAAATGTCGCTTTCTCCAACGTATTTGGCTTGAACTATCAACAATGGGCATACATTTTACTAGAATATTAGGCACTGATTACACTGTAAAAAAAAATGAGTGAAATTTCACTCAGATTTCACTCAATACTTTCTCAATTTCTGTCCACACCCGATTGAGTGAAATTTCCACTCTACAGAACCGAGTGAATCTTCAATTCTCAGAGTGAAAAGCACTGAGTGTTTTCACTCAATCGAGATTAGACGAAAGACTCCTTTTTTACTCATTATTGTTTACCTTGAGTAGGATTTTGATCGATTTTGATAATTTATTCACTTTAAAATGAGTGAACTCACTAAGTGTTGAGTTCAAGACACCTTTTATTGAGTGACTTTTACTCAAATTTGTGTTACACTTAACTCGATTAGTACTCATATCTGAGTATTAATTTCACTCAGTATTGAGAAATATATTCTAAATTATTTTTTTAAAAGCTATATGTAAGCTAACTTGTTATTTTATAACAGGTGGGCAGGTGCCTTTCAAAGGTAAGTTTCAGTTTAGGACATGGTCTCGAACATGTCCATTTCCTAAAATTCACTTTTGGGAGGCATCTGGTCACTTGTAATAAAATAACAAGTTAGCTTACATAGCTTTTAAAAAAATCATTTAGAATATTTCGTTTTTTTTAACAAACCAAATAAAAAACTGTAGAACCTTCAAAAATATTTTTATTTGTCATTTTTATTTGACAAAAAAACAAATAAAACCAAATATAACACTATTATTATAATATCAAAAACATTTTAAAAAGTTTTCAACTCTTTTTGGAAAAAATACAGGAACTTTTTAAGCTAGATGTCTAGAAAAGTTGCATCACATCGCAAAAATCCGCTTTATTAAGAGCATTCGTCAGCTCGGCTACCAACATTCTCGAATATTTCTAATTTCTAAACTAACTTTTAATAACGAAAATCCTCCGGAAAATCCAGATACTTTTCCTCCTGAAAATTAAAAAAAAATGTTATTCTGCCAAATGTTCCAGTTCCCAGTTCCAGATTGAGGGAAAGTACCTAGATTTTCGCTACGCTAATTAGTCCAGGAAACATCCGAGCATTGCGGCAATCAGTAGACGCAGTCGAATTTGAATATATGTTAGGCGGATTTCTGCGATGTGAAAAAAAATGTTCTTAACATAAAACATATTTAGGAGTTATGAGTTCGTATTCGCTTCACCACGCCACGCGGCCACTGTCACACTTTACATCACACACACATACACTATGGACTTGTAACCTGGGCACCTTCGAAGGAACAAGACAACCTACGACTCGAACAGATAATTAAAAACTGAGGAACAGGGAAATAGCTTATTCGGTATCGAAGAAGCGCGTATGACGTATGATTAGTAATGAGCGAAAATACTCTAAACTGGGTGATTTCACTCAAATTTTTATTGTGTAAAACTATAACATGAGTTTTTAAGTGAATTTTTCTATTCCATTACTCAAAGATAGGGGTTATAACTCGAACATGAGCTTATTCAATAGCTATTGATTAAATAGAGATCATATTTGAGTAAAATGATGAATTTACTCTATTTTAGATAAAAATGTACTCAATTATTTCACTCAAAAAATTCACTCCCTGAGAAATATGTGTTCACTCAGGCTGATTTTTTACAGTGTAAACAATCGCCGGCGGTATTAGTGTACCTATACAAAAAAATGTGACGGCTTGATAGTTCTATATGCCTGTGGAAAATTGAATTAATTTGGTGTTGTTATGCGACGGTATGCTTAACCTGATAGATAAATGTTGTCCAATGGCGACATACTGTATTTTAAACATCAAGTACCGCCGATTCTTAGTTTTTGACTTGAATTGAGGCTGTCGTTAATATTTGATGATTGTAAAGAATGGTAAAATATTGAATTTTAAAATCAAAATATTTCAAAGCAATCAAATGCACATTAGCAAATAGAGAAAAACGAAAAAAAAAAGAATGAAACCAAAGCAATCACAACAGGCTCACAGCTTGTTTTAATTGGTAGATCTATAGTTAGACTTAAGTTAATACCTAACTTTCTCACCGACCAACAAATTATTACTGTTTTGCGTCCTTCAATTTTGATGAACTCATTTCGAAATGAAAACATAACTTTTATTTTTGTATTTCGGTTAGGGAATAAAAAAGTTTTTAGTATTCGGCTGCTTGCTTATATTGCATCTAACATGTCAAAAATCTTTATATTCGTATGCAATAAAATGTAATTTTATTTACACAAAAGTACTTAATTGCAGAACATTGGGAAAAACCAATAACACATAAAATTTTCTTAAATAAAACCAGTATTTGTGTTTTTAAAAAAGTATATCGCTAAACGGCGTTATTTTTTATATATTTAGCATTAACTGCTGTACTTGAAAAATTTACCTCGTTGTTCGGCGGATTCATGTTAATAAATATGTAAAACCGTCTAACGGCTATTTGACTTTTGACAATTGTCTATACAGCCGGCGGTATTTAATCGGTTTGTATTTTAAAATGTCACTATCACCGATATAAGGGGTGGCCCATTAGTGCGAGAAATTCCAATATCGTGGTTGTTGAAGATATGAGAGGAAATTTTATACAGTGTGGTCCGAACTGTATTCCGGAAACTTCGGCAGCATATTCTGCAGTTAAAAATAAGCAAAAAAGTTCATATAAATGTATGTCCTAAAATGCTTAATTTCGTAGATACAGGGTGTAGAAATTTCATTTTTATTTCGATTTTTTCCAAATAATTTCTTAAATAACTTCAATATCTAGATGAAAATTGGTGTCTGAGAGTTTTTTGATATGAGAAATTTGATCTTGATGCCTATGGACACCCTCTCCTACTTGTAGAGGGCGCCACCTACATATTTTTTAACTGGTTTGAAGTGTCATAACTTTTCGTCCGTACCTGTATAAAACTACCGGGTAAAAAAATATACATTCACGACGTCTTTTACGTAAAAATTCACAGATTTTGCAACATGCGCAACCATCATAGGCGTATTGAAAATACCAGACACAAAAGTCGGCGGTGGTCAGCAATCACCTGTTTTTTACATTTTATATTAACTTATGACGTCATTTGGCAGAGCTCAATAGAAATATAAAAGAACTAAAGCTTGTTTGGAAAGCAATTTGACATTCGTGACGTCAGCACTCCGGCAGTCTAACGTATCGCTAATTGCCATTCGCAAATATATTCCAGATACGTATAGTGATATTGTATTAGTATTTTGATATTGGATTTTTATCGTGATGGTTTTTATAAAAAGTGAAGAATTTAGTAAGAAAAATATTAATGATGGAGATGAACGTGTACGGATTCATGAATGGTCACGATCACGGTCACGACACTATAGAAATGTGAGGTATGATAATAGCACCTTGAACCCACAGTTTCATTATGGAGCCAGATTAAACCAATCAGAATGAGTATTATGTTACCGTAAAAGCCTGAATATTGGTTAAACGTAGGGTTACCCACGTAGGAGCCCGAAATATGCAAAAAGGTCACTTTAGGTTAAGTTTAGATTAGGCCTATATTTTTATTAATGCAAAACCAACTAAAACCTAATTCTAATCTAACCTAAACTCACTCCCTCTTTTGCATATTTCGGGCTATTACCTGGGTATTTCCAGGTTTAACCAATATTCGAACTTATGGTGTAAATTTATGGACGGTCCATAAATTTAAAAATTCGCCGTACAAAATATAAGTAATAGTTACTGTAGATAAAAATAAATTAAAATATAGTTTCACGATAATTTAGTTTGCAGCTTCTTTTCATCATACCTAATAAAAGCCCGTCACAACCACTACGCATAGTATGTATACCTATGTATTTTTAAACATCATTATGAGATTTAAGTCATAGGTGCCCATAATATGAGTAGCGGTATTGACGGTTTTTTGTTATGATGAAAATGTTGTGTGATATGAAAAAGCAACAAAATATATTATCGATTGCAGCAACTATACCTAGTTTACATTCAGTAATTTCAATTAATATAGAACATTATAGCTATGCATGATTTTAAAAATTTGCTACCATTATATTTTGATAGTTGAGTTTTTGAAATTATTTGTTAGCTTCTTAAACAAAATAGGCCCATAATAATTTAAATCTTTATCTTCCAAGACTTCCAAGAATTATAAAGTAACCTCACGTCAGAATTTTTTAAAATTATTGCATGCCTTAAATGTTTGCAAAGTTAAAAAAAATATGTATTTGATTACCTGCAATTAATATAATTGGTCCAATTTATCAGTTCTGCATCATATCCGAAATTCAGGTTGTGTGTGATACAACGAAGAGTCAACGTGCAACGTGAACGACAAGAAAATGGCAAGTAAAAAAATTGTAAAGTCTTAATTACTAATTACACAGTCGTTCTCTTGAGTTCTCCTGCCCAAAGTCTATATTGCCTTCCCTAAGATTTTAAATATACATGATTGAAACTCATACAAGTTTACCACAATTCAAACTTAAGATAATTATTTAATTATTAAATCCATAATTATATTAAAATATAACACTTACGAAGTTACTAAATATTAACTATTTCTACTTAATCATTTAATAATTCTGATAAAAACACGCTTGAATATTTATTTTAGAAATCATACGGGCTATAATCATTAATATGACTTTATTAACAATACTTAAATGAAAATTTATTTGAAGGAATGCTACTGTATTACAATAATTGTAAAACAAGTATGTAATAATAACTCGGAATAATTATTAAAAACTGCTCATCTTGTTATAGATGTCGGCGTCTCTATTATTTTATTAGCCGTTTAGCTATAGTTTGATTTCAGATAATGCAGATTTTAATGTGCCATTTGTGTTTTTTTATAGGAATTATTATTTTTAGCATATTTGGTATACTCTATGAAGTTATTTTTAAGTGCTCCTGTCCATTTTTCAATTAT